CTCACCAAAAAAAAAAAAAAAAGCAAATCCATTGATTCTTCACCTGCAACTTTTGGGTAGATGCTGATGAATTCCTTTTCCAGTGAAATTCTACAGGCAAGAATTTCTCAAGGCCTACACCTGGTAAAATCCATTTTAAACCTCCAAACTGCCAGTAATAATTAGTCTCAGAGGATCTTCCAAGGAACTAAAAATGTCCTCCTAAGCACACTTAAAATCCTGTAGCATTTTCTCATTTCACACAAGAGAGAGAGGAGAGGGATGAGAAGCCATGGAGGGTCCTCTTCACTGCCACCACAGAGGGAGACAGGCATCTGAAAATGCTCATGTGCCACATCAGATCAGGGATGTTAAAAAGAATGATTACTTCTGTTAAAAAATAATAATATTTTGTCAGTTATTTAAAAGTGTGAGTTAAACTGAAGATTTATTGTAGAGGCCTAATTCTGTTTTTTCCAGAAAACTTTTTCTTATCTCCTAAGATGGTTTATATAATAAGGAGGTACTCTGGGGACAGAGATTGGAGGAATAAGGAATGAGTAGATGTGGAAAGAAGTGCAGGTTCTTCCCGATATTTATAAAATCTGTTCCACTCGTAGGCTTACATCTGCAAAATGACTTCTTCTCTGGCTGTTTTCATCTGGAGACTGCAATTCATGATATATGACAATGTCCCAAGTTATTACATAAGAGATTAACTGCTCATGTTTTCTACTTCCTACAGACAAAATTTTCTTCCAAATGTGCTATTAAAATAATACCAATATTTTGTTTTACAATAGGCCGCTCGATTATCTAATGACCAGGTCCCCAAGCCTCTCTGTGATACATTACAGCTGAGGATTAAGAACATCTCACTGAAGGGTGAGCCACCAAGCAGACACTTGATACAGAGCAGATGCCGGCACCAGATCTGCGGTGTTGAGTATCCTCCAACGACTAAGCTTGGCCACTCTGAATAGCTTTAATAGGCCATGACCACTTTCTGCCCTTTATTTCTTATAATCATAGCATTTTTCCTTCTTAAAAACAAAAATTATTACAGAGATTATCAGAGTGTCAGGTACAGCATTTATAGGCATTTCAAAAGATTATAGTCAGGGCTGGCCCCGTGGCTGAGCGGTTAAGTGCACGCGCTCCGCTACTGGCGGCCCGGGTTCGGATCCCGGGCGCGCACCGACGCACCGCTTCTCTGGCCATGCTGAGGCGGTGTCCCACATACAGCAACTAGAAGGATGTGCAACTATGACATACAACTATCTACTGGGGCTTTGGGGGGAAAAAAAAGGAGGAGGATTGCCAATAGATGTTAGCTCAGGGCCGGTCTTCCTCAGCAAAAAGAGAAGGATTAGCATGGATGTTAGCTCAGGGCTGATCTTCCTCACCAAAAAAAAAAAAAAAAAAAGATTATAGTCAATTTGAAATGTTGAACAGATTCATAATAGCTTTCCAAGGCTCTGACTCATTTGCATTTTAAAGTTTATATCAGACATTGCAATGCTAAATGTTTTAGATGTGTTTAGAATTTTTAAAGATAAATTATTTGAACTTCTTTTCAGTGGTAATGGTGAGAGAATAACGGGTCATGAGGCCATTACGCATCTCTTATCCACATCCCATGCGGTTTTTGCAGAATGCTGCACTATGTAAACTGCTATTGCAAAACAGGCAATTATTGCACTGAACTTTCCATAAAATCCATCCAAGTAAATCCTGCAGGCTCTCATCACTGCAGATGAGCATCCTGCCTTTGAGAAGATGCAGTAAAGAAAACTTGCCGCAGAAGCCAGCAGCGAGTTTCTTGTCTGAGACTCCATACGGTTTTCCTTTCATTAGCTTGCTCCTCCACCTCATTTATTCATCCCACAAACATTTATTGAGCACCTAGGGGCCAGGCGCTGTTCCAGGCTCTGGGGATACACTGTGAACAAAACACAGGAAGTCCCTGCCTCGCAGGGCTTACATTCTAGTAGGGGGAGACAGCCAAGCATGTAATTACATAATATCACAGGGTTCAAAACAGCTTAGAGATACCCTGCCTGAAATCCATTTACTGCATCTCCTCGGTTTTGGGCAATGATGAAGTGAAAGGAGACGCCAATCTGTAGCAATTTCACTAGTCCCAGTTCCACCATCTAGAAGTCGAGTGAATTTGAGTCCTTCAACCACTCTGAGCCTCAGTTTCCTCAACTATAAAATGGGGAGAGGTTGGATTAAGTGATTTTTTTTTTTTTAAGGGAAAAGGCCCTTTCAGTCTCTTATTTTTCATGGTTTTATGGGGCCATGTTCCACAAAATCAAGAGCCAGTTTGTTGACTGCTCTATGGTTTAAAAATATTTTTAAAATAAAAGAAACCGTTAGCTATTCCACATACACTCAACACTTTAAATGCCAATCTAAACTTCTTTCATAAATAGCAAATGTCTTATTTACAACTGCTATAGAATGAAGTCATTTTACCATCTTCAGCCATCTGAGAAATAAGTTATTTATTCATAAAAGCATATACATTTCTATTGTTGGTTACATAGTCCCACCTCATTTGTGAAATGTTCTCCAGCTGTGAAATCCTCTCCCGGGCGTGACACTGTCTCTCTCCTACTAACCCAGATCAGTGACCTTGTGCTCCTGTTTAACCTTTTCCACTGGACTATTAGCTCCATGAAAACGGATTGGGTCCTTGCCTCTTTGAAGAATGACTCAAATGAGATTCTGTCCAGGTAACCCAGAGATGTGTAATCAATGCACCTACACCACGTTTTATGGGCACAGGCATTTCGGGAACCCACATTAGCTCTTCAGGCTGTAAGAATAGTTCTGCTTAGTAAAATCAGAGCTATGGCATACCAAAGGGTATGCTAACATCCACAAGGGAAAAACAGGTTTCCAGAACAATTCACACAATTGTCACTAGGACAATGTGAATTAATACATATCCTAACCTCTTTCGAAGCCCTGGTGGAATGTTAATGTATATTTAGTAACGCAAGCAAAGCAGCACATATTTTGCAATCAATTTTTCTTAAAGAAGATAACATAGCTGGAGAGCTGTACGTCAAATAAGGTTAGGCTCATACTTATTAACTTGGTAGGAGTTATGAAGTCTCTGATGCTCTTGAAAGGCAAATCACATTCTCTGGTTTGATTCTGAAATGTAGAAACTCAAATTTCAATCAATCCAGGAGCTAAGAATGATAAGAAATTTTACAGGACTATAAGGAATCTTCTTTTCTTATCTGGATCAGATCCCCACCGACACCTTGGAAGTTTCTGAAGGCTGCCTGCTCTGTCTTTGAGTTTTATCGGTTGCTGTGTAATCAAATATCCTATGCTTGTTTTCAAATTTGATCAGGTGGCCCTATCAAAAGGACAAACCTTGTCAGTGCCTTTGGAGGCAACGTGAAATCTCTGCCTTGATAACCGAATTTAATTCCTTCCTGTTGCTCTGTGGTGTCAAGATACATAGTGTCGATGTTATCAGAAGTGCCTAACATGGACTGCTGTGTAAAGACTGTCCTGTCCTCTCAATTGCTACAAAGGAATAAAGACCATGTTCTTGGTTGGGTGAACATTATTACTTCAGGACCAGAAGGGCAGCGGCATCCCATGTAACCTTGAAGAACCTTGAAGCAGCATCACAACATCTTCTAATAATAAAAAATGTCTCAAACAGTATCTGTATGGACTATGAGACGAGGGCAGGTCCAGCAGACATCAGCTGCATAAAGGAGGGTCAGAGAAGAATAAGGAGGTTCAGACAATTTTTGGCAACCTAGATCACAGTTACAGGTAAGTTCTTGTTAGCAAAGGAAACACATTTTGGTGTACATCATGGAATCTGAGTATGTGTTTAAGTTGTTAAGTATATGCTACCAATAAGAAGACAGTCCCTTTTTCACAAGGACAGGCAGGAGGAATTATAAAGCCCTCCTGATGTTCAGTGTCCTATATCAGTGTGACTGTAGCCCTTCCCAGCCAATCCAAAGGGTCCATTGGTTGGATAAAAGGGTGCATCAGGGCTGGCGTTGGCTGTCAGGGTCTCCAGAAAGTCACTGTGTGCAGTGTACTCTTCATGTGGAAGTCCTTGAGCTGCAAATGAAAACAACTCTTAAGTCCAGACCTCTGTGGGCACTATGGCTTCTTTGGTTCCAACAGAAGGCAGTAGGCTTTCTTCAGACAAGAAATAAAAGGGGAATTGCACCAAGAACCCACGGATCTTTTTCAATTCTTCCTCAGCTCTAATGGGATCTTCCTTTGCTAATATGGGCTTGCTTATGAAGTCTCTCAGTTGAATTAAATTGTGTACTTCATCATTGGGAAGGCACCGGAACACCTGATTAAAACACAAATAGGAAACAGAGTGATGTTTAAAAGAAAACATATCCCCTTTATGAAAAATACTCATTCAAACATACGACACCTTTGTTTTATGAAACACATACTAGTCTTATGTTACAACACAGACTTGACTGAAGAGTTGCTTCTCTTATTTGCTACAAAAGACTGCTAGACTTGTTTCCATCAAAAAAAATCATAGCTAAATCCTTATATCTGATCGATCCAAGTTATTAACCTCAGGATAAAGTCAAGCTAGTGGTAAGGAATTTCACTGATTTACTCCACATTAAGGTTAAGTTTTTGGATAATAATGATTCTTGAATTCCCATGGGAGGTTCCAGTCTAAGAGAAAAATTGCATATTATATTTTCGCTAACTTTTTATTTTGAAAAACATTCATACCTATACCTTTACTTCAAGTTACCAATTGTACACTTATTTTGCTAATTGAAAATGAGTTTCACACATCATAACACTTCACTCCTGAACACTTCAGCATGTATTTCTTAAGAATAAGGACATACCCACAATACCATCCTCACAGCTCAGAAAATGAATTTCATGTCATTTAAGACATGGTCTATATTCAAATTTATCCTATTATTCCCAAAATGTCTTTTATAGCTGTTATCCCCCCAATCCAGGATCCAAACAAGGCAGTGCACTGCATTTTTAAAATTACTCTTTAAAAGATTCCATGCACATGACCTATTTGATCATGGTCTTGAGTTCTCAGTAAGAAATAAGGCTATGTAGACAGTTGTCATGTTTCACTAGGAATGATGAATTCTCTGTGCTGGAAGGGGCTCTGGAAGTCATGAGGAAGAACTCATTCTTACCCAGTTTCTGAGAGATGGTCAACAGATCTCAGCTTGAATATTTTCTGTGATGGAAAGCTGGCTATTTTATGAAGTAACCTGTTCCACTGTTGGACAACTCTTAACTCTTGTACATTCTTTATCATAACCAATGGATAGAACTTACCAGAAGATGCATTTGGCCTCCCTAACAAATGGAGCTGGTTTTAAAACACCTTTCCAAAATTAGAGCTGTCTGACAAAAAACATGTCTCATTATCAATAAGCTTCATCATAAAGATGGATGCCATTTACTATGAACTATGTGCTAACTACATTTAATAGACTATTCTTTATCCTCACAACCACCCTAGTGAATATCCCTCCCAATTAATAGGACAGGAAAGGAAGGCTCAGAAAGCTAATTCACTATACACAAAGTTATATCACAAGCAACTGGGTGAGCTCAGTTGAAAAATGAACTTGATTCATTTTTTGATCCCATCTGTCTCTTTTCTCTTTGTAACTAGACAGGTACAAAGGCTGGGTAACCACCTGCTGAGGATATTCATGATGGGATTCCTGAATCAGATGAGAGATCAGAATGCCGCTAAAGTCTCTTTTAAAGCACATCCGTGGGGGCCGGCCCCGTGGCTTAGCGGTTGGGTGCGTGCTCTCCGCTGCCGGCGGCCCGGGTTCGGATCCCGGGTGCGCACCGAGGCACCGCTCTTCCAGCCATGCTGAGGCCGCGTCCCACGTGCAGCAACTAGAAGGATGTGCAGCTATGACAGACAACTATGTACTGGGGCTTTGGGGGAAAAATAA